CAAAACAGCAGCAAAACACTAGAACTCCTCCTGCCTGTCCTCAAGGACGTCCGTGCTAAGAGCACACTCACCCCCGACGGACGGAGGACAGACAGACGCAGACTCAGCAACGAGACTAGCAGCGTAGTCTAGACGCAGGAGTGGACTCAAAGTCGACAAGCTCAGCAACTAAGGCAGGCGCAGCAGTGGACTCAAAGGAAGGGTCAGTGACAGCAGTAGCCAGGAGACGAGTGATAGTAGGACTAGCAGCACGGAGAGAGTCAGACTCCGGATCAGCAAGGACAGGAAGAGAGGACTCTGGAGGACACGGCAACGGGACACGTAGAGGAGCAGTGGACGGACGCAGTGCCATCAGGTGTGTGCCTGGGACCGCAGGAAGACGCGGACGCGGAGCACGACGACTAGTGCGAGCAGCACGAACAGGTGACGCAAGACGAGACGCAGGCTCACGATGCTCAGCAAGACCTCTAGTAGGACAAGTGTAGGGAGGAGCAAGCAGGGGGGAGGCGGGTTGTAACTGTGAGTGCGACTGGACAGGTTGTGGACACTCTAAGGGAGGAGCAGGACCAGTAGAGGGTGGGAGACCAAGAACCTGCTCAAGTGGCGGAACGAAGTACGGCCGCGGCCGCGCAGTGCCTCCAGAACCAGCAGGGACAGCACCAGTACCCCCAGCAGCAGCACCAGTGTCACCAGCACCGCAAGTGCCAACAATGCCAACTCCAGCACCCTCAGACGCACTAGCGCTAGCAGAACCACCAGCGCCGACACCCCCAGAAGCTCCAGCTCCAGTAACTCCAGCAGCACCAACTCCAGTAGGACCGGCAGCTCCAGTACCGCTAGCAGCTCCAGCAGTACCTCCAGCAGCACCCCCAGCCCCAGCAGCTCCAGTACCGCCAGTACGAGCACCTCCGAGACCAGCAGCAACAGTAGTACCTCCAGCTCTAGCAGCACGGCTCCAGCGCCCGGCAAACCACTCGCGCTGCTCCTGCAGAGAGGGCGGCTCCCGCCTTGACGAAGCACCGCGAGAGGTCACACGAGCAGACCCAGCACCCAGGCGCGTTACGGGGGAAGCCAAGGAAGACGCAGGGAACAGCACGGGGGGACAGCTTGTCCGCAGACAAGTCGCGGACAAACGCCTGAGATCCCCAGACCCGAAACGCAGACGCATCGCCAACCTTCCCTGTCCACCGCAAGGTGGGGGAGGTCTCAGGCAAGGAGACCCGGGGCTGAAGGTTGAGCTGATGCGCTGCGTACTGAACCGCAAATGGCCTTAGAAAATGGGGGGCAGCCGCATGGATCATGGACGTACGAGCGACGTCCATGACCATGCCAATGCGGCGCTCAGCAATCCCATTTTGTTGTGGAGAGGCCGGAAGCGTGAAGGTCTGGCGGATGCCCTGTGCACGACAGATGGCTCCCAGACGGGCAGAGGAAAACTCCCCGCCTCTGTCAAAGTGCAGACGCAGAACAGGAAAGTCTGAGCCGAAACTCTCTCTGAGTTGGAGACGAGCTGCGCGGATCCAGTCGATCAACACCTCAGTGACGTCACCCTTGCTGCACAAGGGAAAGACTGTGCTGTAACGCGAGTAGTCATCAACCACCAACAGGAAGTAACGCTCGTGACCCTGTCCACGGACGCGGGCGGGGCCCCACACGTCCATGCAAAGAGTCTGCAGTGGAGTCTCTGCCGGAGGAAACTCGGAGGAGTGAGGGGCGGCGCGCTGTCGCCCCTCGACGCAGGAGACGCAGGTAGGGGCAGGCCCTCGAGGTAGGGGAGGGAGAGATCGGGGAAGACCAGAGACAAGGACACGGGAGGCCATGCCTCGGAGACGAGGCAGGGAGGGGTGACCAAGGCGGTGGTGCCAAAGGAGAGTCTGGTGGGACAAGAGACGACACGAGCAGGGAGCAGACTCAGGACCAGACCTGGACGCTGCAGCAAACACCTTACTCAACGCAGCTACCTGACCAGACTCAGCAGTCGGAGGAGACTCAGTAGTAAGTGTGTACACGCTCGACCCCGGCCGACGGGTGAATGTGGCCAGGTGTCGGCCTGTCCGAGCACACGTGCAGTGGGTCACCCGCTGACTCGCAGGAGTGAACTGGTCAACCCCCCTATCCTGTAGATCAGCTCCACTCACCAAGTTCGAAGAGAACGAGGGGAGGTAGAGACCTGACAGGGTGCTAGAGGGGGCTGCCGGGCACGGTAAGATAGTGGAGAAGCTAGCAACGACAGGACCCCCAGAGGGGTCCGCCAGGGAGACCGCAACCGGCGGACTAAGCGGCGTAAGCGTGGTGCAGTCTCGAAAGAAGGAGCGGGAAGCACCCGAGTCAAGGGTGAAGGTGTGTAAGGCCTGAGCTGACGTGGTACCTGAGAGAGCAGACTCACCAGCACCTGGGGCATCAGACGCACTAGCACCTAGAGCAGCAGCCTCACCAGCACCTAGAGCAGCGGACTGGATACCGGGGTCAGGCGTCACACACAGGTGACAGACTCCCTCGGCACTAGTAGACAATGCATACATTGCAGTGAGAATAGCATCATAGTGAAGAGTAAAGATATCTACCCGCTGCGGAACGAGCTCCACCCAGTCGGGGAGCTCAGCGTCGTCGCAAAACTCTGTACGCCAAGAGTCGCTCAGACGCGCGAAGCAGCGAGATTCTGTATGACTACGCGTCCTGCAAGTCTGACCAGTCCGGACACCCGTGCGAATAACGTACAGGCAGCGAGCAGGACTCAGCGACCCTCCACTCTGAGCGTACCTCTCACGAAGCTGCTGGGGTGAAATAGTCTCGCGCGGACAACGCTGCTGCTGCACCGGGCCACTACAAGAAACTCCCGAACTACCCACTCCAGGACCACACCCATTACTGCCATTCCAACAACCCCAACTGGTGTACCACTCACGAAGCTGTTGGGGGGTGAGGGACTCACGCGGGCGACGCTGGAGCTGCATCCTGCCACTACAAGCAGCTGCGGAACTACTCACTCCTGGACGGCTCCCACTACGGCCACCCCGACAACCCCAACTAGCGTACCACTCACGAAGCTGTTGAGGGGTGAGGGACTCACGCGGGCGACGCTGGAGCTACATCTGGCCACGCCAGGAGTAGCAGCAGCAATAGAAAGAGCAGCAGTAGTAAGAGCAGCAGTAACAGCAGCTCACCAGTGGCGAGAAGGGCAAGCGTACGACGGCAGCAACGGCGATGCCGCTACCACTGTAGAGCGCGAGCTCCGCGGCAGCTGCACGGGTGGCTGCTCCAGGGGCGGCTGCTGCATTGGCGGCTGCTCCAGGGGCGGCTGCTGAAGTGGCGGTTGCTCCAGGGGCGGCTGCTGTAGTGGCGGCTGCTCCAGGGGCGGCTGCTGCAGTGGCGGCTGCTCCAGGGGCGGTTGCTGCAGTGGCGGCTGCTCCAGGGGCGGCTGCTGCAGTGGCGGCTGCTCCAGAGGCGGCTGCTGCAGTGGCGGCTGCTCCAGGGGCGGCTTCTGCAGTGGCGGCTACTCCAGGGGCGGCTGCTGAAGTGTCGGCTGCTCCAGGGGCGGCTGCTGCAGTGGCGGTTGCTATAGGGGCGGCTGCGGCAGTGGCTGTTGCTCCAGGGGCGGGTGCTGCAGTGGCGGCTGCTCCAGGGGTGGCTGCTGCTGCTGGGCGGCTCGGCAGCTCGGCTGCCCGCTAGGGGCGGCGACAGGGCCGGGTAGGGGCGGTGACGGGGCCGCTAGGGGCGGCGACGGGGCCGCGTAGGGAGGGGAGCGGCGTCGGGGCCGCTAGGGGCGGCGACGGGGCCGCGTAGGGAGGGGAGCGGCGTCGGGGCCGCTAGGGGCGGCGACGCGGCCGCGTAGGGGCGGCTACGAGGCCGCGTAGGGGCGGCGACGGGGCCGCGTAGGGAGGGTAGAGGCGACGGGGCCGCTAGGAGCGGCGACGGGGCCGCGTAGGGGCGGTGACGGGGCCGCGTAGGGGCGGCGACGGGGCCGCGTAGGGGCGGCAACGGGGCCGCGTAGGGAGGTCAGCGGCGACGGGGCCGCTAGGGGCGGCTACGGGGCCGCTAGGGGCGGCGACGGGGCCGCGTAGGGGCGGCGACGGGGCCGCGTAGGGGCGGCGACGGGGCCGCGTAGGGAGGGGAGCGGCTACGGGGCCGCTAGGGGCGGCAACAGGGCTGCGTAGGGGCTGCGACGGGGCCGCGTAGGGGCGGCAACGGGGCCGCGTAGGGAGGTCAGCGGCGACGGGGCCGCGAGGGGCGGCGACGTGGCCGCTAGGGGCGGCGACGGGGCCGCGTAGGGGCGGCTGCGGGGCCGCTTAGGGAGGGTAGCGGCTACGGGGCCGCTAGTGGCGGCGACAGGGCCGCGTAGGGGCGGCGGCGGGGCCGCTAGGGGCGGCTACGGGGCCGCGTAGGGGCGGCAACGGGGCCGCGTAGGGAGGGAGGCGGCAACGAGGCCGCTAGGGGCGGCGACAGGGCTGCTAGGGGCGGCGACGGGGCCACGTAGGGGCGGTGACGGGGCCGCTAGGGGCCGCGAGGGGCCTGGAAGGGCGGCTACAGGGCCGCTAGGGGCGGCGACGGGGCCGCTGAGGGTGGCGCGAGGGGCCGTGAGAGGGGCCTCTAAGAGAGGTCGACAGAAGGGCAGCCCACAAGGCGTGCCTTGGGCAGGAGCGACTGTCGCTCCGATCAGAAAAAAAAGTTTCAGTGGTGGGCCCAAGGAAGCGTTCCCACTAGGGAACCTGCTCTATACCATGTGAAGAAATGAGGAATGAATGAACTAGGAAGCAGGTGGGTACAAGTAGGAAAACCTAGAAGTGTTGTACCCCATATTGTCTACCCCACTACAGCCTACACAGACTATAGCATATGAGTTTGACATCGAGAATAGATGGAAAGACAGAAAAAACAAACAAACCAAACACAATAACAGAGTATGGAATGGGTCACGCTGACGCGATAGTAGAGGGAGAACGAGAGAGGCGACGGAGAAAGGAGGGCATACGTGAAGGGAGAGTCGAAGGTCGCCGGGAGGGCTATTCAAGGCGAGCGAGAAGGGAGGATGGGAAGGGAGCAGAATGAGAGAGGGGAATGGGAAGGGAGCGGAGAGAGAGAGCGCGACGGGAAGGGAGCGGAGAGAGAGCGCGATTCGAAGGGAGGAGCGAGAGAGAGGGCGGAGCGGAGAGAGAGAACGCGATGGGAAGGGAGGGGCGAGAGAGAGGGCGACGGAAAGGGCGCGGAGAGAGAGAGAGCGACGGGTAGGAGGGGCGAGAGAGAGGGCGACGGGAAGGGAGCGGAGAGAGAGATCGCGACGGGAAGGGAGGGGCGAGAGAGAGGGCGATGGGAAGGGAGCGGAGAGAGAGAGCGCGACGAGAAGGGAGGGGCGAGAGAGAGGGCGACGGGAAGGGAGCGGAGCGAGAGAGCGCGACGGGAAGGGAGGGGCGAGAGAGAGGGCGAGGGGAAGGGAGCGGAGAGAGAGAGTGCGACGGGAAGGGAGCGGAGAGAGAGGCCGACGGGAAGGGAGCGGAGAGAGAGCGCGATTCGAAGGAGGAGCGAGAGAGAGGGCGGAGCGGAGAGAGAGAGAGCGATGGGAAGGGAGGGGCGAGAGAGAGGGCGACGGGAAGGGCGCGGAGAGAGAGAGCGCGACGGGAAGGGAGGGGCGAGAGAGAGGGCGACGGGAAGGGACCGGAGAGAGAGAGCCCGACGGGGCGAGCGACGGGAGGGCGATCGGTAGGGAGGGGCGAGAGAGAGGCCGACGGGAGGAGAGGAGGGGAGAGAGGGTGACGAAGAGGGTGACGGGACGGGCGACGAGATGGCGACGTGACGCGCGACGGAAAGGGAGACGGGTGGGCGATTTGGCGAACTCGAGGATAACATAGTGGGCGATGAGAGGGGTGAGAGGAATGGTGACGGTAATGGGGTTCTCTGTGATCGCGAGGAAAATATCACTACGCAGCAACGGCGACGAAGTATCACAAACAATCTAATGATAATTTAATTTCTATGCCGCATCAGCCTAACCCCTCGTCTCTGGCTATTCTATGCTAGGCAAGCTCCGTGAGTTAGGCAAGCTACGTGAATGGAGTTGAAGTAAGCATGTGTGGAACCCAGGCCCAGCTTGAAAGTTGAAGTTGCGTCCAACCATCAAAACGCACGACAAACAACTGTCGTGCAAATGTCGCATGCATAAAATGCGAACGCGCGAGCACTATCTGATTTTTTTTTTTGGCGGGAACGAATCACGTGTGTTCAGTCTATGGAAGGGCGATGCCCGGAACAGTGTCTTACACAGCCCATCGTCGTTTCAGTTTTGCTTCTTCCGAGCACGATTTCAAGTTGGATCCGCCCTCACTATTTTATATTTCGGTTTTAAAATGTAGAGTACCGGTAATGCCACGTCAACATTACGAGTCGCGTGGGAAAACTTCGGATGTTTCGCAAACTTCGGAATGCGCCATAAACGAGGTTAAACTGGGAATGAGATTATGATTCCCCAGCAGAACATGCTTCAGCTGCAGCATCAGACCCGCCTTCCTCCCCCTTCTCTTCACCCATGCTCTCCCTGCCTCCTGTGCTCTCCTCCACCTGCTTGCTCTGCACTGAACCACTTCCACCCGTGGGCGGCAGCTTTGACTTGCCTTGCTTATCCTTGAACCCAGGCGCTACAGGACGACGGATCCCGCCCGAAATGACAAACGGGGTAGGGGGGACATTTTCCTCTGTCCCTGTTGGCGCCGCCCCACCTGCCCCTGCAGCTGCTGATCCTCCAATCACAAGCGCCGGTTTCTTTAACAGTTTACCAGACTCAGAAGCTCCAGCTGCTTGTACTGCAGCTGCAGCAGCCATGTCTTGCCTTTCTGCTGCTCCTGCTGCTGCCGTTGTACCAGCAACAGCAGCAGAAGCAGCAGCAGGAGCGGAAGCAGCAGCAGCAGTTGAGCTTGCAGCAGAAAAGCTTGAGAGTGGGGCCACGACCACTGTACCAGGAAACACCGACCCTCTGCCTGCCGCAGCAGCTTCGGCAGAGGCCCATGAGTCAGGGGACTTGCCGAGCCTCTGCACACGGAGCACTGTTGGGTGGTCCAGAGACAGGCTCGGGCGGGCGGAGGCTCGGACCGAAGCTACGAGCGACTCGAGTTCGGCGAGAAGAGCGCGCATTTGTGCCTGCTTTGGAGCATCCTCACTGGAGAGAACGTGTGGCGGGAGGGAGGCTTGAAAGGTATGAGGGTGATGGAAGTCATGGAAGCTATGGGAGTGAAAAACTGCACGGCTTACGTGTCATTGAGGTTTACCATTGTAAAGTGGCGGTGCTATGGAAGCAATGGAAGCAGAATGATTGTAAGATGATAAAGGCTCTCCATGTGAAAATGGTTTAGCAAACAAAAGGGTGGGTGCGCAGGATCAAAAGGGTGGGTGGGGTCTATGCCAGTCAAGATTCCATGCACACATGCTACGACGGTGTTAGCTCTGGATGAAAAAAAGAAAATGTAACACAATTACCTTTATAGCATGGTTGAGGAACGTGTTAGTTTGAGAGGGGAGAGGAGCAGTTGGTCAGGAGAAGCATTACCTGGAGGGAACTTTTGATTCGACTCAAAAGTCAACGAGGAGAGGAGCAGTTGGTCAGGAGAAGCATTACCTGGAGGGAACTTTTGAGTCGACTCAAAAGTCAACGAGGAGAGGAGCAGTTGGTCAGGAGAAGCATTACCTGGAGGGAACTTTTGAGTCGACTCAAAAGTCAACGAGGAGAGGAGGAGTTGGTCAGGAGAAGCATTACCTGGAGGGGAGAGTGTCCAGCCAGGCCCTGATCTCCCGCATGGCTATCTCGGCCTCCCCAATGCACCGCTTCACCTGTGAGGAGAGGGAGTGATGGGGCAGACAGTCGCGTGCATGTGTATGGTTGATGGATGGTGGACAGACGAGCATCAGCATCAAGCTGAAGCTAGGGCAAGTACACAAGTATTTTCAACTCTGTCCGAAACAAACATTGCACAACACCGCACAGCACCCACCTGTATCTCAGCTGCCATGTATCGTTCCTCCCACTGCAGCCGCCTGTGCTTGCTATCTGACACTGCCCCATCCTTCCCCTCCTTCTCTGCTTGTTCCCTGGTGTTGGAAGGACCGGTGTTTTGGGAAGGAAGGAGAGGGAGGGAGGGAGGGAGGGAGGGAGGGAGGGAGGGAGGGAGGGCGGGAGGGAGGGGGGGGAGGGAGGGAGGGTGGGAGGGAGGGAGGGAGGGAGGGAGGGAGGAAGAGGGACGGTAGGGGGAGAGAGTGAAATGAGAGACGAGGGTCAGCGGCAAACAACGAAGACCACCTGAGGTTGTGCAAAATCCCTTCTTGAATCGACATATCTTTTATCATGCCAGTGTGATTCCACATGCGCTCACCTCTTGGCTCTGATACCATCAAGCCGCTCCACTATGGACTTGGGCGACTGCCCAAAGGCTTCCAACTCCAACCGCATGAGGGCTTCCAGCTCAGGCTGAAAGATGAGTGTGCTACTGCTATGACAGCGAATTTCTAGACCAGACTCACCTCTTAGCTCTGATACCATCGAGCCGCTCCACTATGGACTTGGGCGACTGTCCAAAGGCTTCCAACTCCAACCGCATGTGGGCTTCCAGCTCAGGCTGAAAAGGAGCGTGCTACTGCTGTGACGGCATTTGAGGCGCCTCAAAAGGCTACTGCCATGACAGCGAATTTCTAGACCAGACTCACCTCTTGGCTCTGATACCATCGAGCCGCTCCACTATGGACTTGGCCGACTGCCCAAAGGCTTCCAACTCCGACTGCTCAAGAATGAGTGCCCAAGGAGATGAGGAGGGGTGCGCAGGGAGGGAGGGAGGGCAGGAAGGAGGGAGTGAGGGAGGGACGAGAGAGGGAGTGAGGGTGGGAGAGAGGGAGGGAGGGAAGTCAAATGTCAAAAGAATGTTCAAAAGAGTGTAAATGGGAGGAAATAAGAAAGGCACTAGCAATGCACGCACCTTGCACAGCTGCACGTGCCCCTGGGCCATCTCCCAGAACCTGACTTCTGAGGCGCCTCAAAAGCCTTGCTAGCTGTGCACGCATCTTACACAGCTGCACGTGCCCCTGAGCCATCTCCCAGAACCGGCTGATGCGGTCACTCTTCTCCTCTCGCATCTGCCACTCCTTGCCCTCCATGCTCGCCTGCTAGCCCCAGTCTCTACTGCAACGCTCTTCGCTCAGTAAGAGTAAACGAGAGTCTAGCAATGGACGCACCTGACACAGCCGCACGTGCCCCTGAGCCATCTCCCAGAACCGGCTCTTGCGGTCACTCTTCTCCTCTCGCATCTGCCACTCCTTGCCCTCCATGCGCGCCTGCTAGCCCCAGTCTCTACTGCAACGCTCTTTGCTCAGTTAGAGTAAACGAGAGAGTCTAGCAATGGACGCACCTGACACAGCCGCACGTGCCCCTGAGCCATCTCCCAGAACCGGCTCTTGCGGTCACTCTTCTCCTCCCTCATCCGCCTCTCCTTGCCCTCCATGCTCGCCTGCTGCAGCTGCCACGACTGCTGCAGGAATTCCTTCCACCCTGCCAGAGCCTTGGCGTCCTCCTCGTGTTCAGAGAGGGAGTGCGTGAGCGATTCCTCCTGTTGTTTAGATAGGGGTGTGTGGAACGAGAGATATGCATGACTGCTGCAGAAACTGCTTCCACCCTGCCAGAGCCTTGGCGTCCTCCTCGTGTTCAGAGAGGGAGTGCGTGAGAGATTCCTCCTGTTGGGGATGGGAGTGCAGAGAGCGTTAACATCTGGGAATAAGGAGGTGGCTTTTGAGTCGACTCAAAGTCACCCTCAGTCACTTGTCTCCTCACTAGCCGCCAATTCATGCATTCTAGTCAGCTTCTTCTTTAGGCACTTAGAGCCTACCCTGCCTCTCCTGACTGGGGCTTTAATATGAAAAACTTGTTCACACTTCTGAAGATAGATGAGTCTCGATCCCCCTGCTGGCCTGCGAAAAGAGCTCCTTCTCCTCCTCCAAGCTTCACTAGCCGTCGACATGCCTGAACCATGCTGGGGTCGCCAATAGCCTACAACTTGCATACTGGGGCTTTAAAGCAGCTGTGCTCACCTCTGAAGATAGATGAGTCTCGATCCCAGTGCTGGCCTGCGAAAAAAGCTCCTTCTCCTCTTCCAGCTTCACTAGCCGCCGATTCACGCCGTCCAGCGCAGCCTGCACCCGCCTCAGCTCCTCCTCCAGCTCCTCCTTTCGCTTCTGCACCTGCTGGGCTTCAGCTAGGAGGACCTGGGGTGTGAGTGTGTATGGGGTATCAGGGAGAAAGCAGGACAATGAGAACAGGGAAGGAAGCAGTGCCGCTTGCACCCGCCTCGGCTCCTCCTTTCGCTTCTGCACCTGCTGAGCCTCTGCCAGGAGGACCTGGGGTGTGTGTGGTGGGGGGTTGGGGGCGGGTGGGGGGAGGGAGTAAGCAGGACAATGAGAATGGGGGAAGAAGCAGAGCCGCATGCACCCGTCCCAACTCCTCCTTGTGCTTCTGCACCTGCTGAGCCTCTGCCAGGAGTACATGGTGTTGGTGAGTGTGGGTGTGTGGATGAGTGGGGGAGACGATAAGCAGGATGATAGGAACAGAGAAGGAAATAGAACCACCTGCATGTGATGAGTCGATTTTTTAGTCGACTCAAAAATCGACTCATCACACACGGATAAGCAGGAAGATAGGAACAGAAGAGGAAATAGAGCCACCTGCACCCGCATCAGCTCCTCCTTTCGCTTCTGCACCTGCTGTGCCTCCGAGAGAGTCCCTGGAGGTTGGTGTGTGTGGTAGGAGCATGGGGGAGTAAGCAGGGCAATGAGAAAAAACAGGGAAGGAAGCAGAGCCGCCTGCACCCGGCTCAGCGCCACTTCCAGCTCCTCCTTGCGTGCCTGCACCTGCTGCTGGGCCTATGCCAGGGGCACCATTCGTGGCAGAAGTGGGGGGGAGGAGGGAGTACCTGGTGTTGGTGTGGGTGTTCAAGAACAGGTCCACTCACCTTCTCGGCCTCGCGGGACTCCTGGGCCTTGCTGCTGCGGTACGCCAGAGCCTCCTGGCGCTGCTGGCGGCACTCCTCAGCCTTCCGCCTGAGCCCCTCCATGCTCTCACTCAGCTCCGCGGCCAGACAGCTCACCCGCTCCACCTTCAGCGCCCTGTCCCCCGGCGTGTCCCCCAGCTGCAGCAGGGCTTCTTTCTTCTTTTCTAAGGCCAGCAGGCGCAGGCCTAGGCGAAGCGCGTCGCGCGACCGTGCAGTTACCACCTCGTTCACGTGCGTTACGGCGTCGCGCGTGTGTGGTGGTGGGCTAGATATTGTGTGCGGTGGTGGGCTGGCTGCTGCTTTTGCTGCTGGTTCTGATTGAATATCGGTAGGTTCGGCGGTGGCGGCAGGTGCGGCGGCGGCTCCATCAGCTTCGGCAGGTGCAGCAGGCCCGGAAGAGGAGGCAGCGCTGCCGGCAGCAGCAGTTTCAGTCGAGGCTTGACCACTGCTAGCAGTGTCACCACCATCAGCACCCCCACCCCCACCACCATCATCATCACCACCACGACTGCCGGTAGAAACTGCACCACTGGTAGCATCAGCAGCATCAGCAGCATCAGACGCAACAGCACCGGCAGAAGTAGCGTCGGTAGCAAGATCGTCAAGGTCGAAGGCAGCAACGAAGGAGGCAGAACGCTGGTGTGCTGCAGGCACAGAGGCGGCTACAGAGGCAGCCTCAGCAATAAGCTGCTGCAGGCGACACGACTCCAGGTCGACCCTGAAGGAGGTGAATGGGAGAGGTGCGGGTATATTGAAGGTGAGTGAGGGAAGTAGCAGATTCAATGAGAGGCAACAGAGTGGCTGTGCTACCGGGGCAGCCTCAGCTATGAGCTGCTGCAGGCGACACGACTCCAGGTCGACCCTGAAGGAGGTAGATGGGGGAGGTGAGGTGCGGGTGTATTGAAGGTGAGTGAGGGAAGTAGCAGATTCAATGAGAGGCAACAGAGTGGCTGCGCAGCAGGCAGCCTCAGCAATAAGCTGCTGCAGGCGACACGACTCCAGGTCGACCCTGAAGGAGGTAGGTTGGGGGGTGGAAATGAGGGAGGGGGCGTTGGCAGTGTGGGGAGGCAGCAACAGAGGCAGCCTCAGTAATAAGCTGCTGCAGTGGCTGATGGGGAGGTGAATGGGAACAGATTAGAAAGAGTGCAGGTTGATTGAAAAGCACTGGAGTGGCTGTGTGCTGCAGGCCCAAAGGCGGCAAATTATGTGGCTGACTAATGCAGCTACATATCAAGCTGCTGAAAGCAGCACGGTTCTTGAGGCGCCTCAAGAGTCTACTGAAAGCAGCATGGCTCTAAGTCAGTAGGCTACGAGTCCTGTGTCTTACTTGTGGCCACCAACCCTCCTAAAGCCGACACCACATTGGCCCTACCTCACACCGCATTGCACACCTTTCAATCTCGGGGTTGACCTTCAGCCCTGTGATTGCTTCTGCCACCATCGTGGCCAAGTCATCACTTGGCAACTGACAGTGGGAGTGGCAATGGGCAGGGGACGGCAGGTAAGGACGAAGGGAGGAAGAGTTTTGAAATGGCTTCATACCAACTGCTGCCGAATCGTCACGTCACATCACTGTACAGACAGTCGATGGTGGTGGGACTGGGAGGACAAGCGAAGGGGTGGAGAGTGTGGGGAGGACGCGCAAGGGAGTGGAGAGAGGGGAGAACGAGGGGGGGAGGGGAGGGAGTGGGGAGGAGGAGGGAGTGGAGGCAGTAAGGAAAGAGCGAGGGAGGGGTGAAAGGGGAAGGGAAAGGAGGAGGAAGGGATGAAAGAGGGCAACAGAAGCTGATGGGAAGAATGAGGGAGTGATGCAGAAAGCAGAAACAGGTAGAGAGGTTTTCATTCTTTATTTTGTTTTCCCTGCACGCCCTTCCCCACCCTTCCCCACCCTTCTCCACCCTTCCCCACCCTTCTCCACCCTTCCCCACCCTTTCCCACCCTGACCCTCGCTCATACCTTCCCACCCCTCAAGGTTTCGTTGAGCAACTCATCGCACCTTGAGTTCGGAGTAAGCAGAAAGGGAGGAGCCCAGTGACTGGAGGGCAGCGAGCAGATCATTGCACTGGGTTGTGGAGAGGTTCAGGCAGAGGCTGGGTAGGAGGGGCGCAGAAGGGTACAGAAAGGTGCACAGGGGTAGAAAAAGGAAATGAAGATGATATGGGGAGATGGGATTGGCAGAAGAAAATAGCACGAGCTGCAACCAGCCCGTTTCACTGGGTTGAGGGCAAGGTCAGATAGAGGGTGTGCAAAGGAGTGCAGAGGAGTGCAGGGGGGTACAAAAGGGCCCAAATTTCCGCCCCTTTTCTCAAATGAACTGACCAATCTGAAGCGCCATCTGCTCATTGTCGTCTGGCTCATTGTTGACAACATTACGAGCTCCAGAACACTGGAGCGAAGAAACACGTCTCTGATCGACAAGGCAGCCCAAACCCTTCCAAAAGCATCCCTTAGAATCACCCCCTCTCCCTCCTTTCTTTCCCCCCAACCCATCTTTCCTCCCCAAGTACTCACCCGAAGAGCCCTCTCAGCAGCACCATCTCGTCCTCATCCCCCGGCGCCACCACCATCGACGCCACTATGAGCTCCAGCGCGCTGGATCGCAGAAAGACGTCTCAGACCGCTGCTGACCTGACCTGAGACAGCCCACGCCCTTCACACAGCAACGTTGCCCCAACCCCCCTCCCTCCTTTCTTCCCAGGTACTCACTCAAACAGCCCTCTCAGCAGCGCCATCTCGTCCTCATCCCCCGGCGCCACCACCATCGATGCCACTATGAGCTCCAGCGCGCTGGAGCGCAGAAACACGTCCCGGAAGTTGAGGGCCTCGTTGCCCGCGTCTGGATCATAGAAAAGAACCTGAGGGAGAGGAAGGATTGGGGGTGCTATGAGCTCGAGAGCACTGGAGCGCAGAAACACGTCCCTGAAGTTGAGGGCCTCGTTGCCCGCGTCTGGGTCGTAAAAGAGTACCTGAGAGGAGAGTGCGGGAGAGAAAAGGGGTGGATAATGGGTGGGTGGGAGAGATGTACTATGAGCTCCAGCACGCTGGATCGCAAAATACATCTCTGAAGTTGAGGGCTTCGCTGCACGCGTCAGGGAGGAGGGGGGGGGGGGGGGGGGGGGGGGGGGGGGTGGAGAGAGGGAGGGGGGAGAAGAAGAAAGGGGGGTAAAGGGAGAAGAAATAACGTTCTTTTATTGAAGTTCAGAAATTCCCGATCCAGGAAGAACTCTGAGGAATGTCTACACCTCAAGACCGCACCGCACTGCACTGCACTGCGCCCAGGGCGTTGCTTCACTCACCATGGCCGCCCGTCCAGTCGATGCTACTATGAGCTCCACTGCACCACACCACACTGCACTGCACCGCACGGCGCTGCACTGCACTCAAACCGTTGCTTCACTCACCATGGAAGCCCGTCCAGTTGATGCTGACTTTGACAGCGACGGAGCTGCCTCATCTTGCGACGATCCATCCCCTACTGATGCCACCTCCTCCGCTTCTTCTCCTGCTGCTGCAATATCACCCGCTTCTGCTGACTTGCTACCTGCTTCTGCTCCTGTTTTCTCTCCATCTCCAACAACCCCATCCTTTGATTCTGAGTCTGCTTCTGCTGCTACTGACTCCGTCTTCCCCTCAGCTCCATCTGTCTGCACCTGTGACAATCGTGCCCCCACACCTTCTCCTTCCCCATCTTTGGCCTGGTTACCCTCTGTAACACTAGCACCATCCTTGCCTTCGTCACCAGCTCTGTCAGCCACTACCCCCTCCGCTCCTAATCCATCCGTTCGATCTGAGCTCACAGCAGCACCAGCAGCACCAGCATCACTGGCGTCAGCCTCAGCTGCAGCCCCAGCAGCCCCGGTAGCAGCGGAACCATCAGCACTAGCAGCAGACTCCACTGTCACCTCCTCCTGCTTGTTCTCTTCCTGCGTCTTCCGCTCCCCCTTCTCCCCCTTCTCCTGCCGCTTCTTCCGCCTCTGGAAATGCGCCTGAAGGCGGTCGTTCTCCTGCTGGATGTCTGAGAGCGCAGCAAGCCAGCGCGCCAGAGCCTCCTTGCGCTCGCTGCCGCGTGCGAATGTCGCCACCTCCTCTATCCGCCGCACCGCATGGCGGAAGCTGTTGTGTGGCCGACCCACCTGAGGGTACGGGACGAATGGGGGAGAAGTGCAAGTAGAAAAAGCCTCCTTGCATTCTCCGCTGCCTTCTCGTACTTCATTCTGGCGCCTCGCTCCAAAGTACCCCCGGGATTCTGCACCCCCAACCTAGCAAAATCTCCATCTTTGGCAGAAAATAATAGTAATAACAAACAACCAAGCGGCCAGCACATAAGCAGGGCTAAACAAACAAACAAACCGTGCAGTAAGACTCACCACAGCGCTCTCCGCCTGCTCGTACACCATCTTGGCGCCTCGCTCCACGGCATCTCCGGCCTTCTGCACCACGGACCCCGCAAATGTCCCCACCTTGGCCAGATTCGACCGAATCCACGACATTGCGGACTCGCTTCAAAGACGTGGAAAAAAAAGTCGACTGGGTAGGTGATAGAAGGCCTATGCTAGCTGTAATCCGAACTGTGAGCTGTAAATTGCAAGCAGAGGGACGCCGAACTGGAAGCTGCACGCTGGGTTGAACTTGCTCGCGGGACGCCGAGGATTTTGACAATGCGGGAGTGAAGGAGCGCTGAAGTTACGTCTATTTGACCAAGCGGAAATTTCGAGGTAAAGAGAATGCCTGAGGAGGTCTGAGGTGCTGTCGCGGCATTACGCTTATAAATATAGGTCAAAGAGAATGATGGAATTCGATAAAACTAGAGAACCAGAGGAAGAAACAGCGAGACGGACAGCGACGCAATGGGACCAGTTATCGTTTTTATTTTCTGGCTTCACATGAGCTGCTAATGCTGGGTCCAAGAGCTTACTGCTCAACAGAGACCTCACTTCTGAGGACGCGTTGAAAGTAGACGATCGATCGTAGGTGGCGATCGATGTGCGGATCTGTAACCCTATTCACTGTGCTGTAACCTTGATACAGCATGGTTTTTTGCCAAAATTTGTGCACAGTGTGTGAATGCTACTGATCACTGATCGCGGGAGATCAGTGAGAGGCATCAAAGCGTCATTGATGCTCTCAAACCGAGCTACCTGGCGCGATTGATTCTGATGCCTGCGACTTTCTGAAATTTCGCAGAGCCAGGAATCGCTGTCGCCCAAATTGTCCACATTTGGCGAAATCTGTAAACATCACATCGCCAGGGTGGTTGCCCTGTTGGCTGCAAGTGTCGCAGGTGGGTATGGACGACGTATATGTTTTGGGTGCGAATCTCATGCAGAGCATCCACCACAAAGCTCAGGTGCGATCGTTACAGCGTATCGGTCTTCATGTTTCGCCAATCGATCTGCCCACTCGATTGTGGGGCTCGATTTATGCTCGCGATCCCGCGATATTTGCACTTTCAGCGCGTCCTGAAACGGCAAAACCAATGAAAGCACGAATGCATTTCAGGAATCAGGAATCAGTGCAATGGAGTCATGGAGGGCTTGTAGGGTCAAGGTTTCAGGTGTTCCAGTAGGGTGAAGGGTGGTGCAGTGCTGCTGTTTGGTAAACTGCCTGTGCCTTGCTCGGTTGCCGGTGCTGAAGTGGTCGGTCCGGCTCGTCCGTCTGGCCTTGGGAATTCCGCCGAAACGAAACGACCACAAAATTCAGGGCTAGGTGCGAAAGCCAATCACATCGACCCCCGAGATTTGGGGTGCCGGGATGCCGCCTGGCAAGCTTATGCCTCACTATAGCGGTGTCTTGGACACTATGATGCAGCGTATACCAAAAGCACGTGTCTGTTATGAGTTTTACTAGACAGAGTGCGCGGAAGACTTTATAAAGAAGACGTGATTACAGAATGACGAAACAATGAAGAAAGCGAGAATATATAGGGCGAAAACTAGCTAGGCGAGAACCTCTAGATGTGCGTGGCTCGGAAATGTCGCGATTGGTGCGGGGCGACTCGGAATTGGCTCGGTGCGAAAGTGTAGGACGAGCCATCCTGATGTGAAGTGCTCGGGCTGTTCTCGCTAGGAGCAGCCTCTACAGTAATGAATTGCATATTCATTACACTCTCCCACCTTCTAGATAAGGCCCCCTTATACGGAGCCGAGTCTTGCAGTAGCGTGAAAACTGCAGACCTCGGTTGAAACGGATCTGACGGTGTAGACGTCGTTGACTGTGAAGTTGACGCGTGGCTGAACGCGTTGACCAGGCGAAATTCAAAGAGTTGGAATGTTAGCCGTTGATACTGCCGATAACGATCGGGCGGTTGAATTCGAATGTCGAGTTGAAAAGCCGTTGATGAATACGAACCGTCGATGTGGTGGATCTCTGTCGGACGGTCAAGATGAACACGTCGTGGGCGGATATGCTGACGCGTTGTTAGAAGTCGATGAAGCAGGACCCGTCGATGTCGTTGATGTGATCGCGAGCGTCCGTCGTGCTGAATCTGTCAGACAAAAAGTCAGAAAAAACTGACAAGTACAGTGCGAGAGCACTTTCTCCCCCCTCTTGGAAAAGACCGCCACCCAAATATCTCCGCGTGGCAGCACCGAATCACCCTGCTGCCGCAGTATCTTCAGTTGTCAGCTGCTGCAGTCCCGAAATTGCTGCCGTTTGTCTTGTTGCAGTGTCGAAAATCCTCTCTGTAGCTTCTCCAGCTGTTAGCGCCCCTGGCAGTCTTGTCCAGACTCGCCGAGGCTTTTGTCGATATTCGCCGAGGAGTACCGGGCAGAGGCGAAAAATAGCTGCTGCTCTCCCCCCTGACCTCGCAACTATGTTTTCAAAGTTGAACTCGAACTGTCGATGACGTCAGCTGCATTGTCGGTGTTGTTGTGACTCGCCGAAAACCTCCGGGCAGGGGCGAAAACAGCTGTCGCCTTCTCCCTCCACCTGTTGCAAAATTTTCCCTCGTGTTGCGGCTGGTACCCCCGAGCAGCTTCCGATTTGTACGGCTACGCATTTGACGATGAGTGCCTTCACGCCTTTAATCAAGCGACGCTGCAGTCAGCCGTTGGCACGGATACTGTCAGCGACCCCGCTAACTCCGTTAAAAACTCTTTTCGGAACTGCTCGTTGCGCCCGTAGATGTCGGAAATTTCCACCCCATGTAAAGTCTTGGTCGCCTGCAGGTTGTCCCCCGAAAGAACCGGTGTTTCTATCGCGCCCACCCGGTCACCATTTTTTTCGTGCGGTTAACCACCGAAGCGACCCACCAACAGGAGGTGCTTTTTTTGGCGTGGAACCCAGTACTTATGGGTCTCCCGAGACCGATTTTCACGGACCCTAGCGCGCATCAACGCCGCGGATCTCGCAGCAGAACTCCCCCAGACTGCTTCGAAGTACACCGAGGAACGCTTAAACAGCTGGCGAGCAGACCTTCACCCGTCTCCCACCGTCGAAGTTGCACCCGAAAATCATGGTTGAGGGATTAAGCCCCGAAGTATTTTCTGCCTTGTAGCCCCGACATTTCCGTTGTTAACCCTGGTGCTCCGACGTTCACCCATCTTCGCACCTGTCGGGAATACTTAGCAAATCCCAGGCATCCTTGGCAATACACCCCTCGCCGCGCCTCCATGTAACGATATCAAACCCTTTCGGGGGTCTACGGAATAAACTCCGAAATTCGCGGTGGAGTGGTGTACGGGCTCCGCCTATCACTCAAGTAGCTTGAAACGGCACCCACAACTTTCCCTCCTTTTTTTTTTTTTTTTTTTTTTTCGCTTTCGCCCCCCGACAATTTTGCATGCCGCCGTTCACCCAGCGTCCGCTTTTGTCGGATGAGACCTTCTTCGTGTTGACCCGCGATTTTTCTAGCGTTCGATGAAGGCGCGAACACAATCGTAGCCGGGGTGAGTTTATCGTATCAAACGCCCGTCCGGCCGCTTCGCTGCCCACCGTGCCTATCGCACTTAAAACTCCACAGCTTCGGGAACTCCATCTTCGCCGCTACACCGCCCTTGGGTAGACCGTTGAATCGGGAGAAACACCGCCAGCTGCCACAATTTTTTCAGTCCCGACTTTTTCGGCAAGAGAAAACGTTGCCGATGGTCTGGTTTTGTCGGGGCCGAAAACAGTGTCGCTTGAAGATTTTCTTGAACGCCCTGCCGTCGAACCAGCGCCACCCACGCCTTTCTAACCAGCACAGGGCTAAAACACAGGGCCCCACCTTTTTATCCAGAAGCCAACAGGACTTACGAATTGCCTTCAAGGCTTTTCTGGTGTGAGGTATGTGAAACCTCGGTAGACTTGGCCGGTAGGGAGCTCCTTCTGCTACCGCCGCTTAGCCGTGAGACTCGGCCTCAGCAAAAGTCGTCGCTGTAGGTCGTTTTTCTCGCCTCCTGAAGTCGGAACCCGTTTCTCTCGCCGGACCCGTATTAGTCGCAACTCCGTTTATTGTAGCCGGTAGAGCCCCCGAAAATTCGCGGGTCTAAACGCTGCGCCGAATCGTTGTTCCGTGGTGTACTGGGCTGTCTGCAAACACAGGTACCTCTGGCCGAAGGGAACTGTGCCGCGTGAAGTGCAGAATCGGCTGCCACTGTTGCTCCGAAACTTTCGCCGATAAACATTGTGCCAGAAACAGTAGTCACCCAAGCCAGAACAGTCTGGTCATAGGCGGCCTTTTCCGAACTTTTCGGTGGTTTGAAGAACAACTTCCGTCCCACACTGTGCCGCTCTGCCGAAAAAACGCCCACGACGCACCCTCCTGCAGCAACACCTGCTGCACCCGGGCGGGACGACGGTAGACCCCCGCTTTCTTCGGGCAGTCGCCACGCCGCCTCTCCTCGCCGTCGGTTTTTCCGACGCAAATCACACATTGCGCCTGGCTGCTCGACCAGCAGTCGTTTTCCACGTGCTGCTACCCAAAATCTTCGCGCACAGTGACGACGCGCCACTTGCCGAAGACTTCCACTAGCTCGTGCGCAACGTGACGAAGACGCCCATCGCCACTTGCCCCACGCGGCTAGCTCCGAAATTGTCGCGCGCAGTTGTCGACCACGAGCCGACGCAACTCGCACGACGCCTTGCTTCCGACATCTTCGGAAGTGTACTGACGGAGATCCTGTCGACGTCAGCTGCCACACAAATTAATTCCGAAAACGCCGAAACGTACACAGTTAACTCACGCATTAAATGCGACGACAGCAAAAGCTGTCCGCCACCCGGGAGGAGGGAGGCCACGGTCCATCTCGACCGTCGAGGGCAAGGATCCGTCGGTGCAGCAGGAGCGCCCGTAAAAACATGGCCGCTAGGAGCAACTATCCGTTCTCCTGGCCGGCTACTGCGCTGCTCCTGTCACCACGGCATCCTTCCCTGTCCCCCCCCCTGGAGGAGTAATACACTCTAAAAAACGGGGAAGCTAGGAAAGTAGCTCTGATACCAAGTGTTATGAGTTTTACTAGACAGAGTGCGCGGAAGACTTTATAAAGAAGACGTGATTACAGAATGACGAAAC